GGCCGCGCGCATTTCCTGGAATTCCCTACCCAGCGGCAGCAACAAACCTGGGGTCCTCAGTTCCCACATCCCGCGCGAGCTCTGCCGCCCGGACTCTGCCTCCTCCCCTGCCCCTCTATCTGCACCCACGTGCCTGGTGCTCGCTGAGTGCCCACTGTGTGCCAGCCCCCAGCTAGAACCTGGGGGAACCGGTAAGCATCGCAAATCCGGTGGGGCTTGTATTGGCCAGATCGACGTTAGTCAAAAACTGTTGTTGTTGCTAAGTGCCGGTGGAGTCGGTTCCGACCCATAACGACCCTGAACAGGGTTTCCGAGGCTGTAAATCTTTATGGGAGTAGAAAGCCTCATCTTTCTCCCGCGGAGCAGCTGGTAGTTTCGAACTGCTGACCTATAGTCTTCCTTATTCACTGTCCAGATTTCGTTTGCATATGAGGTTACTGAAGTCCTCTGACATCTTTGCTCTTCAACACTTTTAAAATGTCTTGTGCAGCAGGTTTGCCTAATGAAACACATGGTTTGATTTCTTGATTGCTGCTTCCATGATTGTTGATGGTTGATCCAAGAAGAATGAAGTCCTTGACAACTTCAATATTTTCTCCATTGATAAAGAAGTAACCGGCCCCTCTAAGACTGAAATTCAAAGGGAACACATGAGCAGGCATGTAAGCTTGATGGCGACCACATTGGTCTACTGGTGAGTGGAGAGGGGGAAAGGCAGCAATGAAGAAATGGGCTGAGTTCAACCACAATCCAGAGACTCATGCTGACCTGGAGATGAGAGAGAGAAGAGGTAGGGCTGGTTGCTCCAAAGTGTGGTGAGACCTGGGGATACATGAGCTCATGAACAAGGACATAGCCACAGAGGGCTAGAGCTGAGAGTGAAGCATCCAGCTGATATGAAGGGAGGGGAGACGCACAAGAACACCCAAACTTAACAGATAGTACCCATTTGACCTAGCCTCAATGGCTTGATAATCAAATCAGAGCTCGACTAGAGGAAGATAAAAAGGAAAACAATTTTTGATACAGGAAACAGGGACAAATTGCTACAATTTGATGAACTTGACGTATACTCATGGAGGTGGTGGTGGTTATGTGCTGTGGAGTCGATTCCGACTCATAGCGACCCTGTACAGGGTTTCCAAGGCTGTAAATCTTTACAGGGAGCAAAAAGCCTCATCTTTCTCCTATGGAACAGCTGGTAGTAGCTCAAAATACCAACAGAGAGGGAAGGAGTCTTCACATCAAGTATCAATGCTATCCCTTCTGTACACAGGGTAGTTAGGGATGGGCAACTTAGACACTGGCTACCTAAAATGAGGGGCTGATACAGACATGAAGTAACTGGCTTACAAGGTTTCAAGAGGGAGTTTAGTTTAAGAGTGTGTGGAGGAAGAGTCCCCACTGAATAGTTTTCGTCTTGTATAGATGGGTCTGGTTAAAAGAGATGGGGATAAGATTAAATAGTGCATAATTGTTATCATGACTAATTGTGGCTGTCACAATTGTAAAGGTAAAAGTTTTGTAACAAAAACGAGGGAGTAATTAATCTTATAGTCCAGAAACAGAGGACCATAATACCATCAAGGGAGAAGAGCCCAAGCAGAATGCAGGACCTTATCCAGAGAAGCAGTAACACCAGAGATAGGGACATGGAAAGAGAAAGAGGGAGCAGCTGAGGACTCTAGATTAATGGGAAGAGAGGGACTAAAAACTGGCGGCCAGGAGGCAGACTTGCAGAATGTGTTCTTTGGTGGTGTAAATCATTATATATGTCTGAGTGTTTTTAAAAAAAAAGAGCTAAAATGAATAGAAATCTGTTAACTCGTGGTAAACTGCTATGTGGTAGGGATTGTAATCATTGTAATGAAACAAAGTATATGATTTGTTGAATGTAAAACTGATGATCTGCCCTGTAAACTTTCACTCAATCCACAATAAAAACTTTTAAAAATAAAAAAAGAAGTAACCGGAAAGATTACAACCTAGGAAACCCTATGGGGTGGTTTTCTTCTGTCTTATAGGATCCCTAAGAGTTGAAATGGACTGGATGGCACCTAACAACAGCAACAATGGGGGACTAGCCCCGCCTACAGGTCAGGGAAGGCCTCTCTGAAGAACTGTAAGTTTACCTGGTTAAGAGAGTTAGGGTAGGAATAGGTGAAGTGAGAGGGCAGCCCAGGTGGAGACCCCAGGGAGATAGGGAATGAAAGATCGGGGGTGCTGGAGCCCAGGAGGGGAGCAAGGAACACAGGAAACCCCCTCATTATGTCCTTGAGAAATCTGCACAGGTGCAGCCAGAGATGTGTACAAGAATGTCCACACCAAGAGTAGATACATAGGTAGATATGTAAGCTGAACAGGTACAGGGGTACAGCCATGAGCATACAAGAAAACTTCAAAAAGCTTGTGGAAAAATTCCATTATCTTTTAATTTCATTTTCCCAGAAACTTTTTGAAGCCCTGGTGTGGCACTTCAGGTTAATATGCTGGGCTGTGAGGACGTTTTGAAACGTAGGGTTCACCAGCCACTCCTTGGAAACCCTATAAAGGGTTGCTATGAGTTGAACTGACTCTGTGACACCTGACAACAGCAACAACATAGTAGAGCATATAGGGGACAAAGTTATGCAAACTTCTTAGCTATAATTAAACACCATGAGGGACTGAGTCATTAGTTTTGAGGGTTTAGGACAATAATCTCAGGGCAATTCATTGAGACTGATCTGACCACATTTCTCAAGGTGTACAATAGTTCACACTTCCTTTTCTGAGTTATTCCTTCCCCATCAACATAAATAAACTTACTGTTCCCTAAGATTTCTATCTAATCTTCCAAGTTACTGCTCCCACTTTGATCCCATATAGATACAGCTTAAAAGAGCACAGTTCTCAAAGCAAACATTCTTTATTAGCTAAGCTACTCTGATAGCATAGTGGTTATGAATAGAGCTGTGAACCTTAAGGTCAGCAGTTCAAAACTACCAGCTGTTCCATGGGAGAAAGATGAGGCTTTCTGCTCCTGTAAATATTTGCAGCCTCGGAAACCCTGTAAGGGTCACTATGAGTCAGAACCGACTCCACACCACATAACCACAACCACCACCATTGTTTGATCTTAAGAACATTTCAAGTGATAGTTTTGGTTTAAAGATAATCTCAGGACATTCATTTCAGGGGTTCATTCACCCTCAGTGGCTTCAGAAAGTCATAATAAAATGGTTGTTATTTTAGGTCATTACATATGGGGGTATGGAGTCCTGTTGTGGTGCTGTAGGATAAGCACTAGACCACAAGGTCAGTTTGAAGTGCTAGGTCAGTGGTTCAAAGTCACCATCTGGTCCTCAGAAAGGCTATACAGGGTCCCATTGAATCGGAACTGACTTGATGGCACTTAACAACAACCAAGTTTTGGGGTAGTTTGGGGCAGCATTAGATCACAGGAAACCTGACTCTCACTTCCCACTTGCACCTTAGTTTATTCCACCTGCTGACTCAACAGAACTTGGTAGGCCGTCTGGTTGGTTCCGACTCATGGAGACCCTATATATAAACAGAAGGAAACACTGCCCAATCCTGTGCCATCCTCACAGTTGTCACTGTGTTTGACCGCATGTGGCAGTCATTGAGTCAATCCAATACCATGTACAGAGGAAAATAATCAGGCTCTGCCAATCTTTTGTTTGCTTATCCTGGCACATTCTTCCCCTTCTACTCCTGCTTGGTGTCCAGCAGGCTGACTGCTATGTATGACGTCAGTGGGCCTTCTTATTGCCTGGTTTTTTGTTGGATTTGGTCCATTGGGAGGAAGCAGGAGATGGCTGGCTGGAGATCAGAAGGCAGGAGGAGAGAGGTTGGTTATATATTACTTTGACTCTCTCAACTGACCCCAGCTCCCCGTAGGTGGCTGACTCCATACCATCCCCTCTGCAGCTCCCATCATCTGTCTTGCTTCCTCCTTTTTTTGTGCGCTTGGGACCACCAGAAATCAGAGTCAACTCTATACAGTTTTTGTTTTGTTTTGACTTTTTCTTGTGAATTGGCTGAAGGTTCACTGAATGTATTCGTTTTTCCGTTCAACAATTCATACACATTTTGTTTCATCTCCTTGATTGCAGTCCCCACAATGTAACTTCACTGATCCCACTTCCTCCTTTTGTTTCCTGTTTTCATTCCTCCTTCTTTCTTAACCCGTCTGAACTTTGTCCTTGTCAAATGCCATCTTTTTGACGTCAAAGGTTGGTTGGTTATTTCAAATGTATACCTCCCTAGCACTATTGTTCCTGTATATTGTTCACCAAATGACTGTGTCTGTTGTTTGGCTGAAAACTGAGCCACGGGGGTGAGTTCGTTTCCAGATCTGAGGGGTGACTAAGGACCTCTACCTATCTCTATTTGACCAGTAAGTTTGGCCTTTTTCACGATTTTGAATTTTGTTCCACCACTCTATCTAGGAGTTCCTAGTGTAGTTCTTTTCAGAGTAGTTGGTAGTTGTAGCTAGACATCATTTAGTTCTTCTGATGTATTTTTAGGCTCTCCCCAACCGTCTCCTATGAGTGTAGTGAAAGAATAAAAGTGTGTGCACCGTTTTCCAGTCACTGTCCATGTACCTCAGTTTAGGGTGGGCTTGGCTGGTGTTGATTGTTGTCTGTTGTTGATAAGGTGCTCAGTGAGTGGAGCTCCTTAGGGAACTGCCCTGGCTGGGATGTATAGGCATGGTTACTGTCTCCT